AAGGGTTAATAAGCGAAAATCGAAAAAAACTTACTCGCACCCGGTGTACACACCAAGCCAATAATTAAATGACACCTGTCACCTTATTTAATATAACTAGTAGTATTTAATCATAGTTAACTCCATCTATTTTGTATGTAATCTTAAATAATAATAATAACTTAATTATTTTCTAGCTATTTCCGTTATTCCACAAAAAATATATCGAAAGGAAGATACTATCGTGAGTGAGCAAATCAGGCCGACACATTTCCCATGAAGCACCCAAATTCTCCTTCTTTTTTCTTAAATAAATGTTTGTTGCGAGTACACCCTTATTGTATTACTTAAATATTTTTTTAATATATTTGATAAGTACAATATGAGAATATAAGTACGATACTAGCTTATTGATATTTTCAGGATCCTATAAAGCCAAAAATATACTAGCTTCCTCCTTTCCACACTAACTTATAGTAGATCATTCAACTCTTCGTTAACATAAAAATTAGCTATGAAATCATAAAACTAAGAGCCCATTTGGACATACATTTTTTTTCCTTTTTTCCAAAAAAAAAATTACCTTTTTTCGAAACCAGCGTTTGTTCATAAAATTTTTAATTTTCACTTGAAGATGCATTTGGAAATTTTCGAAAATTTGAAAAACTCCAAAAGGCTGCTTTTCAAAATTTTCACTCAAATCACTCACTAAACTTCAAAAACAACCCAAACTGAAATTTATGTTCAAACACAACTCTAAATTTCAAATACCATTTTCACTTAATTTTTTTTTTTTACCATTTTTTGGAAAATTTTACAATTCTTATGTGCAAACGCCTACTAATTACTTTTAAATGCATTCAATAAGGCGGCCTACAAGATAACTTTTCTACTTAGCTCTAACACGTAGCAATGACTTAAAAATCTAAAATCGGAAAAACACAAAGAGTAATAATTGTTGGTTTTTGGATGTATTTAATTAATATATATTAAATACTTAAAAGAGGGTGAATGGGAAATGGAGGGAAATGAAATTTTTGAGTGAAATTTTAAGTTCCCTCCTTGGCAAATGGGCATTGTCCCATATTGGAAGAGGAAGAGGTTTTTTATGGGTATATAAGCAATTGCTCTTCTTCTAGCTCTTAAAGAGTTGAGAAGAAGGCAAGCCTCGCACCGTCGTCGTCGCTCGCTCGCTCGGCTCGGCTTCGGCTACGGCTACGACTTCGGCTTCGGCTTCGGCTTCGTATTCGGTCAAATGATTGATTGATTAACTTTTTGGACCAAATTTATTTGTTAATAGTAAAATATTAACAGAAATATTATTAAATATTTGTTTTAATAACAGAATATTAATATTAAATATTAATAATAAATCCAATCCGTTTTTCTGTTTTGGTAACAGAAAAGTAACTACCCTCTTCAATTTTCCCTCTTTATTTTCCCTCTTTATTGTTGAGTAAATGGCCATTTATGTAATGACATTTATGCTGTGGGTGTTTTGCATAAACAGCCATTCTGAAGAGTTGCACCTCTTCAGATTTCAGCCCAACTTTGGTTATAAATACAACACTATTCTGCTCAGAATTTCACTACGATTTTATGAGTTTTCTCTCCTTCTTCTACATACTTTTAGCATCAAACAAAGTAAAAAGTAAGTGTGATTTGCTACCGAACTTTGTGTTTGCTGAAACACTGGGGTTTGAAGTACCACTACACTAGTGTGTAATTTCGTTTTATCCTGGGAGGAAATAATCCATAACCTTGGGTACTAGGAGGGGATTAAATTCCATAAGGAAACACTGTGAATTCAGTGGGCTCGAATTGATTTTATGTCATTTCTGTTTATGTTCATTTCTGTTTATATTCATTTATATTTCCAGAATTATTTTACAAATACAATCTACTAACATTAGGTTGCTGTATACCAACTCCCAACGTCCATGAAGAAATGTGAGGGTTATTTAGTTCAACTGAAATACGGATGTTATTCTCTCTGTTACAGTGATCTAATGGCTTTGACTGTACATCTGAACAGCTAAAAAGTTGAAATAATCTCACTATGTCCTCATTTTACTTTTTTTCATGAGTGAACATCATGATTTTACAAAATATTTTATTTTCTTGGAAACATAATTTTTTTGTATTGACCTATATATATATTTTTGGTTATAGTTCCTTTCTGAGGAGTGAGAGGCTAGCCATAATGTCAGTTTGTGTTTGTTTCAACTACCTTTGGATTACTTTTGCAAATCCACGGGGTTAATAGATTTTTGCATGAACTGTTTTGGTCTAAGCGGTTATTTTCATGCATAATCAGGTATCGATCACCACTGGATTGCTAATTATGCAGAACAGGGCTGTGGTAGGTTCATTTTCTCATATCTACCTTATTTCTCATTATGTGAAGTTTGTTGAGTGTGACAAAAGTTGGCCAAAATTTCACGGTATAGCCAGTTTTCGGACTGGTCAATCAAAAGTAGCCAGCGTTTATCAAGTCAATGAAAAATAGCCACCGTTTTGCTGCAATAGAGACCGGTCCAGCATAATATACTGGAGTTCGGTGCACTTGTGTATGAACTTCAACATATTATGCTGGACCGGTATACTTTGCTGGCTCCAGTATAATATACTGGAGACCGGAGCACTGGTGCTCCAAACTCCAGTATATTATACTGGACCATTATACTTGCTGGAACTCCAGTATATTATGCTGGATTCTAGTGTATTTATGCTGGAACTCCATCATATTATGCTGGAGTTCCAGCATACTATCCTGGAACTCCAGTATAATATGCTGGAGTTCAAGTATACTTATGCTGGAACTCCATCATTATATACTGGAGTATTTTCCGGATTTTGAACAGTGTTTTCGCTCAGATTTATCTTTACATAAAAGTGGCTAAATTTCGATTACATTTGAAATTGGGCTATTTTTGAATGACCAGTTGTAAATCTGGCTATTTTTAAAAATCACCCCAAAAGTTGTTAATCTCAGGCCCAGGAGCAAAGAGGAGCTACAAATGGCATTTCTATGTGTTCAATGTCTATTTTCATGACGATCGGCCCAGCAGCTGGGGGTTCGTTGTAAGTTTTCAACTTCTTTCTACCATCTATTCTCTTTACCTTCATCGATATTTGGTCCTTCAGTCATATGTTTGCAGTTTTAGCTCTAATTTCAGTTTGCTAAATAAGCCAATTCAAATTAGAAAGTTGTGTTGATGATTTGCTTCAGTTACTATTGCATTTTATTTAGCATAATAAGTTAGCTTAATTTTAGGATAAATCTACTTTTTTGAATTTAAATTTCAGTTAGATTTTTTAGGTTTGTTGAGATATTTTAATTTTTTTGAATTCTTGTTATGCAGATTTTTCTGCAGATTATGTTCCTGATTGGCTATTTAAAGCCTTGTTATACTTAATAAAATTATTGAGAGACATTTTCAATCAATAATTTTAATATTTTTGCTGCCCCATCTTTTAAAAACCAACAGTGGTATCAGAGCCTCATTGATCTTACGGGATCTGTGAGTTCTTCCAAAAAAACCATTTTCAAATCGTTTTTAACCAATATCAATTTTTAAACCTATTTTCAAATATGGCAAGCAACAGTCTCTCTTTGAATGCCCCACAAACTTTCACTGGTGAAAACTATCAGATTTGGTCAGTGAAAATGAAATAATATCTTGAAGCCTATGATTTATGGGAAGTTGTAATGGAAGATAGACCATTACAACCACTCCCTGAAAATCCTACTCTTGCCCAAATTGAAAACCATTTAGAAGAGAAAATCAAAAAATACAAAGCCAAAACTGTGATTCAAAATTCAGTTGCAGATTCAATTTTTTCTAAAATCATTGAATGTGAGACAGCAAAGGAAGCTTGGGAAAAGCTTAAAAAGGAGTACCAAGGAAGTGTCGAGTTAGACAAATGCAGATTTTAAATTTGAAAAGGGATTTTGAATCTCTTAGGATGCAAGAAGACGAGACTATCACTAGGTATTCTGATCGGATTTCTTCTATTGTTAATAGAATCAGGTTGCTTGGCGAGGATTTTAAAGATAACAGAATAGTTGAAAAAATTCTTGTGACGGTTCCAGAGAGATTTGAATCCAAAATTTCCTCTCTAGAAGAGTCTAAAGATCTCTCTACTATCTCTGTTGCAGAATTAATAAGTGCTCTTCAAGCACAAGTACAAAGAAGAGCATTTAGACAAGAAATGGTTACTGAAGGTGCTTTTTATGCACAAAACAAAAAAGAAAAGGTCAATTATCCTCTTTGCAAATACTGCAAAAAGAAAACACACCTAGAAAAATTTTGTTGGTGGAGACATGATGCAATATGTGGTATTTGCAAACAAACAGGCCATGTTACAAAAGTGTGTAAGTTCAAAGACGCTCAACACAATCCTCAAGCACAAACAACAGAAGCAGTAATTGAGGAGGAGCAATTGTTTTAGAGTAACTGAAGCAAAGGAGGAGTGTTGATCATTTGCTTCAGTTACTATTGCATTTTATTTAGCATAATAAGTTAGCTTAATTTTAGGATAAATCTACTTTTTTGAATTTAAATTTCAGTTAGATTTTTTAGATTTGTTGAGATATTTTAGTTTTTTTGAATTCTTGTTATGCAGATTTTTCTGTAGATTATGTTCCTGATTGGCTATTTAAAGCCTTGTTATGCTTAATAAAATTATTGAGAGACATTTTCAATCAATAATTTTAATATTTTTGCTGCCCCATCTTTTAAAAATTCAACAAGTTGCAATGTGTGTTTGAGTAGATTGTGTCTCCTTGTGTCATATCTAATACACTCTGATGTTCTATGTTATGATGTTGTCACTTGTCAGCAGTTGTGAATGCTTACGTGCTATACTTAAATGACATTCTGGTTCTGGTTGTTTGCTCGACTTACACCTTGTATGAAATTGTTTTTGTTTGGCACTTATGATCTGCTGTCCACTAATCTAGATGTCTATTCAAGATCATTTCTCATTATCACATCATGTTCTAAAATATGTGCAGATTGTCCTGGGTTCAACGGCGTCAAGATGCTGATATTTTGCCAGGTAAGAAGACAAGTTAAATTGGATTTAAGCTTATAATGTGAAACTGTAAATCAAGAGTTTGCAATTCAAGTGCCAAAAGAAATTCATGATATAAAGCAATTCAAACAAGCATCTATGTAACATATAAATAGATGGAATATGGCTTAATGATCAACAAATGAACACAAGATTTTCAAGATGTAGTGATTACATGAGATGAGTTGCCAATAGTGAAGATTCTGATGGATGATAGTGGTTCTAGTTACTTATAGATGCCTATTGTGAGTAAATTTGGGGCTTGACTTGATATATGTCCTAATGATAAGGTGATTTACTGTAGTAGGTCAATGCTAAAGAGGAAATTAGCATCATATTGTTTTTATTTCTTAGAATTTCTAAATATTTGGCTACAAATAAGAGTTCTATGCTACATACATCACAAACTCCTAGATTGAATATGTTTGCTTCGTCCATTATATAAGTTCATATCTAACCGAAATCAATAGCCCCGAAAAGTGTGGAAGAATTTACATAATATACCTTGATATCAAAGTCATTATTCTCCTAATCTATGCTTTTAACTAAATGTAGGAAATGTGATGTTATAATGCAGGTGATCAGCTGGTTTTCTTCCTCCTCAATGTGATTGAATTGTTGGGCTTGCTTTTGACCTTCAGACCATTTCTACAAGAGCCTGAAGACAACATTTCTAAGTCCAAAAATGACAGCGCAGATCAATCAGAAAATGGCATACAAGAGACGCTCTCACTAACAGAGTTGCCTTGAGTTACCAAAATAAGCAACTATATCACAAGTCAAATATACGGACAAAATCTTCTTTTGCTTAGAATAATTTACAATCAATTTCTATTATATTATTTTGATTGTTTCTTCACCAAAAGATGTCTGAAATCACGCTACTGCTAAATACAGTTAACCATGCGCTGTTATAGCCTATGATGAAACCAGTACAGAGTATTATCACCGAACAATGACCTAGCAGTAACTTCCTCAGCGTCATGAGACAATATCAAAGGCAGAATCAAACAAGGATCTCGACATCAGTTATCAGAATTCAAATTTTAGCAGAAAATACCAACAACGATATACTACCTTGCAATCTTACCTTGAATTTTCACCGAATGCAAGCATTACTCCAGCTCCAATTTGCAGACGAAAAGGAAAACATGTTGATCGTATCCTCGGAAAAAAGAGATCAAATACAATACATTCCATATTTGGTCAGCCACCATCACTTTCAACATTGCCATGGCAGCTTCTTAGCTAATCATTTATATTTAAACAATTGACAGAAGTCATCTTCTCTTTCTGCTTTTTTTCTCTAAGGGGTCGATTGGTTTAGTTATGAATAGATTATAATACCGTGCTTGTTTAATTATACGATGAACAAGAATGCACAGATTGTTGTAGGGATTGTGTAATTTAAGGTATTTTGTCTTTAAATACTCTTCTCTATGTAGTGTTAATACAATTTTATCCTATGTACATTCTATCTTGTATGTTCTTGTGTAAGTTATAGCAAAATTAATTAGTAATAAAATGTTTGGTTTTTGGAATTTAGATAAGTGTCTGACCTGCAATTAGTAACTTGTCATCTCTATATTGTTGCTGATTTCTCAAATTATCTGTCGAGTTTCTCTTTTATGCGGTCCTTAAGAAACATTAATTAGAAAATTTTTGACTATTTTACCCTTATTTATATTTTAAGATATAATCTCTCTTCATTGAATATTAATTCTATTTATGTGTCATCTCCATTTTCAAGAACAATTACTACTAAGGGTAAACTGAGAAAAAAATAATTAGTTTTACCTTGAACTTCTAAAATGATATAATTTGAGATAACTATCTTTAAAAATCACGACAAATAATTATTTGAGAAAGTGAAAAAGTAGGAAAAAGTAACAAAGTGGAAAAACCTGCTATAATAATATTCATATGTGATGTGCCATAGTGATGAGGTGGAGGCCGAACGCAAAACTGAGTTTAAAGACTATCATGAATAAAAGAGAAGCTTGTCTCTTGAAAACTAGTTAGAACAAAAATAAACTACTTGTAATATCACTAAAAAGTGAGACAAAACCACCAGCTCCAAAAAGTCTGGTCAACAACTCTAATTTGAGTGTCATTTCAGCACAAGAGTCAAATGTAACAGCCCAGCTCGCTAGTAATATTGTCCGCTCTGGGCCTAGGCCCTCACGGGTTTAAAACGCGTCACTAGGGTGTAAGACTTGTTAACTTATATACCCAACATCCCTCTTGTGTTTTGCCGATGTGGGACTATGTCTATAGTCTGGGGTGTTACATACACCCCCTCTTATGGACTCAGCGTCCTCGCTGAGGTTTGCCCCACCGCATGGGTTTCGCCTAGACTCAACACTTAGGTTTGCCCAGCCTAACCGGGATTTGCCTAAACTTAGTTGAACTCTGATCTGACCCACCATCGGCAAGGCTGACACAAGAGTGGCTCTGATACCATCTGTAACACCCAGCCCGCTAGTGATATTGTTCGGTCTGGGCCTAGGCCTTCACGGGTTTAAAACGCGTCACTAGGGTCTAAGGCTTGTTAACTTATATCCCCAGCATCCCTCTTGTGTTTTGCTGATGTGGGAATCTGTCTAAAGTCTGGGGTGTTACACCAGCGATACCTCGAACTTTATAAGGACCTTCCCAATTTGGGTTCAACTTCCCTGGTCCAGCTATTTTTGTTGATTGAAAAACCTTTTGAGAACAAAGTCCCCAATCTTGAAGTATCTGAGATGAGCCTTCCTGTTGTAGTATCTTTCAATGATTTGCTTTTGTGCTGCCATTCTTATTAGAGCTGCTTCTCTTTTTTGCTCGAGTAAATCCAAGTTCGTTCTTAATTCTTCATCATTTGATTCTTTCGTTGCTTGTGTGAATCTCGTACTTGGCTCTCCTATTTCAACTGGGATTAAGGCTTCCGAGCCATAAACAAGTGAAAATGGCATTTCTCCCGTGCCTGTCTTTGTTGTTGTTATATAAGCCCATAATACTCCTGATAACACCTCAGACCAATTGCCTTTTGATTCTTCTAATCTTTTCTTCAAATTATTGATAATAATCTTATTTGTTGACTCAGCTTGTCCATTTGCCACGGGATTATAGGGTGAGGAGGTTATTCGTTTGATTTGCCAACTTTAAAAAAATCTGTGACTTTCGAGCCTATAAAATGTGGGTCATTATCACATATGATTTCTTTTGGCACTCTGAATCGGCATATAACATTTCACCAAATAAAATTCATTACCTTTTTTTCTCGCACCTGTTTGAAAGCTCCTGTATCTACCCATTTGGAAAAATAATCTGTTAATACTAATAAAAATCGTACCTTTCCTTTAGCATGTGGCAAAGGACCTACTATATCCATTCCTCACTTCATGAATGGCCACGGGGAAATAACCGTATGCAATAATTCTATAGGGCGATGCATGTTATTGCCATATCGTTGACATCTATCACACTTTGCTACAAAAGTTTCAGCATCATCTTCCATTTTAGGCCAGTAGTATCCTGCTCTAATTAGAGTTTTTACCAAAGATCTACCTCCCGCGTGATTTCCACAATGCCCTTGATGTACTTCTTTCATTACATATTTTATTTGAGCAGGTCCAAGGCATCTTGCTAAAGGTCCGCCGAATATTTTTCAATATAGATTCCCTTGAATTAAACAGTAAAGGACAACCTTTCGTCGAAGCTACTAAGACTCTTTTTGCCTTCAGGTACGGTTCCGTACTGCAAAAGATTAACAATCTCGCTTCTCAATCCCAAGTTAGATTATTAAAACTTACCTCATTTTCGTCATGGTCTAGTGCTGAATGAAATAAGTGTATTAAAATAGCATTTTCTGCACTTGTTATTTCCGCAACTGATGCAAGATTAGCCAATGCATCTGCTTCTGCATTTTCCCCCTGGGTATTTGCACAATCTTCTATGATTGGAATTCTCTTATCAATTCTCGTTCCTTTTCCAAATTTTGTTGCATCCGTGCTTCTATATCTATGTAAAGCCCCTGCATTTGGTTGACTACCAGCTGAGAATCACTTTTATTCACGATCTGCTCAATGGAGAGTTCTCGTGCCAGTTCTAAACCTGCAATTACAGCTTTGTACTCTACTTCATTATTAGTAATAGGGTAACATTTACTTGCTTGTCTTATACTTTCTCCCGAAGGTGGAATTAAAATAATACCCAAACCTGCTCCTTTAACATTTGAGGAGCCATTAGTAAATAGAGTCCACATACCTGGATTAGATTCGGTGAATATTTGTAACTCCTTTTCTACTTCAGAAACTATTTTTGTGCTAAAACTTGTGATTTTATTGCAGTTCTAGGTCGATACATGATATCATATTCATTGAGTTCTATTGCCCAGTTGGCTAATCCACCTGACAATACTTGTTTATGCAAAATATTCCTTAAAGGATATGCAGTTATTACAGAAATAGGGTGACATTGAAAGTACGGTCTCAACTTTCTAGATGCCATAACTAATGCAAAAGCGAGTTTTTCTAGATGAAGATATCTAGTCTCAGCATCCAACAAAGATTTACTAACATAATAAATTGGAGATTGTTTACCTTTGTCTTCTCGTATTAAAACTGCACTTACAGCCATTTCTGAAACTGCGAGGTACACAAACAACCTTTCTCCATATTTTGGTTTAGCCAGCAAAGGTGGATTTGATAAATATGGCTTCAGATTTTTGAGGGCTTGTTGGCACTCTTCAGTCAACTCGGACTGATTTTGCTTTTTTAGCACTAAAAAGAATTTAAAACTTTTCTCCGAAGATTTAGAAATAAATCTTCTCAGAGCTACTATCCTATCTGTCAATCTTTGTACTTCTTTTTTGTTCGTGAGTATATCAGGAATTTCTTCAGTAGCTTTAATCTGTGCAGGGTTTACTTCAATACCTCTATTAGATACAAGAAAACCTAAGAACTTACCTGAGGCTACGCCGAAAGCACACTTTTCTAGGTTTAATTTCATATTATGGCTGTGGAGGATCTCAAAGGTATTTAAAGATGTTGAAAATGATCTTCCGCTCGTGCAGATTTGACCAACATATCATCAATATACACTTCCATGGTCTTTCCCAGATGTTCTTGAAACATCTTGGTTAAAAAACTTTGATATGTGGCTCCAGTGTTTTTCAAGCCAAAAGGCATGACTTTGTAACAATAAGTCCCCCTGTCTGTAATAAATAAAGTTTTTTCTTCATCTAAAGGATCCATTTTTGTTTGATTATTACCTGAATACGCATCTAAAAAGCTCAATAGCTCATAACATGCGGTAGAATCAAACAATTGATCTATATACGGTAAAGGGAATGAATCTTTTGGACAGGCTTTATTTAAATCAGTATAATCTACACAAACTCGCCATTTACCGTTCTTTTTCGGAACTACCACAGTATTAGCTAACCAATTAGGATATTTTACCTCACGTATTGAACCGATCTGTAAGAGTTTTTGTACCTCATCATAAATCACTTGATTTTTGAATGATCTTTGCTTCCTCTTCTTTTGCTTGACAGGTACGTATGATGGATCTTCATTTAATATATGGGTCATCACCTCCGGAGGTATACCTGTCATATCTGAATGTGACCATGCAAAACAATCTACGTTAGCTTTTAAAAATTCAACTAACTTTCCTCTCATTCCTGGGTTCAGCTTTGCTCAAATATGAACTTTTCGATCTGGCCAATGTTCGAATAACACAACAGCTTCAAGCTCTTCAATTGTTGTTTTGATATTTTCATTCTCCTCTTGTTCTTGAATTACATCCGGTCTCGAATCCATATCAATTTGCTTTGATACATTTTCAGATGAGATTTGATTTACCACGTCTTCCACGAAA